TTGTATCGTTTAATGTGATGATACAGTATCGATATCAGGAACTGCTGTATTGATATATTGCCAAGAGTATTTTTTGGTGTATTTTGCTAAATTATTTTGTTAGAGCTGTATAGTTTTATTGGTTGTTTAAAATTAATTTATGCAGCACATTTGACTGATTAAAATGGGCATGTTTCATATGAACTTTGCACAAGAAGTGGTTTAACAAAGACTTTTAGTATCACGGCCATGATTTACCAAAAATTTTTTATGGAACCGTATCGAATCAATTTGAAATATATCGTACTGAATCGAAAGTGCATTGTATCAAGGTATGTATCATATCGTGACCTATGTATCGTATCGGCAACTTCTTAATGATACCCAGCCCTACTTACAACATGGCATCATAAAATGGGACTTTTGGGAGTTTTTTGTTTGAGACGAACCAAGCCTAAATACGCAGGGTTAATGTGTTAAATGCGTGACTGAAACTCCAGGTGTTTTTGATGAGAAAGGAACATTATAACATAGATCAGAAAATACTGCAATATGTGCCCTTTAACACTCCCCCCAGAAATTTGATAAAGATTACTTGGAGGTACAAAAATGCTGGGACACACTGTAAGATAATAACATTAAAACTTCTATCAAGCATGAGGCGCATCAACTATAATTTTGATATTTCCCTCCCAGTAAACGTACTTCATTTTTTCTTCTCCACCCACTCTCTCTTGCTCATTTATGGGGAGCATTTGGCAATCTATTCTTATTAGCTGCTTCCTGTCGACAGCATTGTGCCGGACGATGTGTTTCCTCATACACAAATGATGCTGCAGGATATTCCCTAATGAAGCCCTTTGAGACCACCACAGCACCATCAAGTCACCCCACCCTGTCCTCCCCCTCGCTTCCCCCCTCTCCCATCACTCCACTCTCTAAAGTAGCTCTGCTGTACCACACACACATACAAGTGGCAGGCAACATCAGGTGGATGTGAAGAGGGCCTCAGAGGTGTCTACAATTCCACACGTCCATTAATTGGTGATTTCCCCAAAAGACCTCCGCAGCATCAGCTATTCAAAACAACAAGCACACCAAAATAGAACGACAGAGGTAGCCATTTTGGATAATAGTAGCTGTCTCCATTTGAAATGAAGCGTGTGTGTGCTAACTAAGCGGAAGGTCAGACGTATGATCCCAGCTCTGACCAAAGCATGTTTTGTTCTTGGGCAAGACGCTTCACCCACAAGGTCTAGATGCGGAGACAATGTGAAAAATGTCCATTTTTAATTTTGCAAAGCCCCCAGTCTGATGCCCTTGGCCAGAGCGGCCAGTGGCACAGATTAGTGGTCTTGGTTCCTGCCAGTCTCCCCCAGGGCAGCTAAAGGCTAATGACCACAGTGCTGCAGCAGTTTCAGAATAGACTGAATACATAAGACTTACAAAAGAGTACAAATTAGTATACAAAATTGTTTAATAATAATTTTGTTCCGAACACAGTATGCAGTATGCAGTATAGGAGGGCAGAAGACACATCTGTGGCATCCACCAATTTACAGTAATAAATACAGTCTGTGATTGTTCCTCCAATATAAATGAAATACATCTTTTAACATTCAGGACCATGTCTGCAATCAGTTTTTCTAATTTTTAAGTATTTTATGCTTTGTATTCTTTTGGTGCACTTCAAGGCCATTCCTTTCTTATTTTATTATTATTACTTTTACTAACACTAAATATAAAAATGGACCATGAGTCTGGAATGAAGATGAATTGAATTGCCTAATAATAAAGTGAGGTAACAAGACTTTAACTACAGTACAAATTTTCCCAGGATGCTTTGTGGTCTTCTTGATCAAACCTGCGTATGAATGACCTGCATAATAAGTATCATAGTATTTCGTGTTATCCATGTGGTTCTGAGATATGTCTGTTTGCAGAAGATTGTGCTGTGTAAAGAATAAGTGATGATTCCTCATGTGTGAACGAATCCTCCATGTAGATTTCCACAGCCCATTGGCAAACACACCGGACACACAGGCATACAAATGAAGAGTGAAGTCTGGAACATTTTATAATAATGGAATTGTTCATGATTTTACTTTGTTTTAGAAGTTCCTGTGGATGTAGTGAATAGAGGTGGACAAGAGAGAGAGAGAGATGTTATAACTTAATAACAATTTTGTTGCAACAAAATACAATACAACATACACTGAGCACAGAAAAAGTTTTATGTTAAAAAGCATAGTTTTCTGGATTTTAATACAGCCTATTAGAAGAAACGTATTCATAGTATTTATAATGAGCTAGTACTAATGCAATTAGATGGTTTAATTTGTTAAGAGTAAAGTATAAGAATTAATATATAGGTTTTTACACTTTGTTCAGAAATGGTATGGTGTAGAAACAGCAGCTTTGAAGAAAAAAAAAAAAAAAGCCATAAAACAGCTCTAAGGAAAATGTTAGTTTGAACTTTCTATTTCCATGGGATCCTATGGGCAACGTGAAAAATTACACAGTGTTACTTTAATGTACATGAAAGTAGTGACAGTCATTTTGTTCCGCAACATACAACTTGTTTATTATTTGTTTATTTGTTTCATTCATAAAGTATAAAAAGACATCAACAGTGTCACAACATCAGACATACAAGAAATGAATGAAAAGGAGCAGAAAGAAGAATCATCTTATATATAAGTTTATAAAATAAGTCAGGTAATGGATTGTACTTCTCAGATTCAGTGTGTGATCAGTAACTAAAAATTACAAAGCAAAACTTGCACTGCCTTGGCGGAGGTCTTTTGAGGACGCCTTCTCCCACCCTCACCACACTGCATAATAGATCACATGTTATTTCCCTATATGGACACTACATTTTTTTATATCTTTTTCCTCACCTTATGTTGCAGGTTGTCATCTTCCTGACTGAGTCCTCTTCCCTGACAGGAGCAGACAGAAGCTGACAGGAGCAGACAGGAGCAGAGACCCAGGGTGGTGAGGACACTGGCAACCTCATGCTCCCTTTCTGAGGCGATGAAGAGTGACAGAGAGCCCAGCATCAAACATTCAGAGGTGGACACAAGGTCACCCTCGTCTTCAACACAGCTTCTCTCTATTTGGGGCTGATTTGAGACAGATTAAGAAAGGCCAAACAGTGTCAAAACATCTGATGAACTGTCAGTATATGTGTGTTGTGTTGTGTGTTTGTGTGTATTTATGTGTGGTGAAGGAGAGTGGACAGATGGAGGGACAATGTTATTTAGAGTAAAGTAGAAAAGCTGTCATGTAAAAGTCAAATATTGGGGTGTGGAGACATGTGCTTCCCTCAGAAACTATCACTGTGGAGAATTTTCTAATATTTTTTTAAGATATGGCACTTCACTGAAAGATAATGCAAGCATATTAAGTTTCTAAAATGTTAAAAATTCATCTGCACTATGTAACCTTTTGGTTGGAGGTCCATCACCTGCTTGTTTCTGTGGATATGTCATTGCTTTGCCTGGAATGTTCCACAGTATATTAAACAGAGCTACCTTACATTATTTCATTACACATGGTTTTATAGCTCAAACAGGCATTCTGACTTTGCTGCTTCTCCACAGATCTGATCAGTGCTAATAATGGGACAAACATTTACAAGACCAGATCAGGTGCATAACTTAATATGAAGCTCCCAAACTGGTTTAAATGGATGTTGGTACTTGGGTGTGGCATAAGGCATTGAATGACTCACTGGACGAGGCATGCCCACCAATTAAAAACAGGGATGACCTATTGGACACAGAGAGATGTTTTTATGATCATATATGTTCAGAACAGGGCTTATATTAAGAAAACTTTGATCTCCATGAAGATAGAAAGGTTTAACAACACAATACTGTGAAATATTTCAGACAAAGCAACAACATCATAGAGAAAAGCACCAGAAAAGTTACATAATGCACCTTTGATAAAGTGGAACACCGGCTTTTCTTCTTCTTCTGTGTTAACAAAATCTCAAAAACTATCAATAATTTGCAGACATTTTCATGCCTTTGTAAAAATCAGCATTTTTCTGACTGTGAAACAAAGCAAAACAAACAACTTTTTTGTTTTAGTTAAGTGAAATCCATTCTCTCTGCCAAGCAAAGGTCTAAGAGAACTCCACAATATGACTGATGCATTTGTAAAATACGTCCGTCTTACACCATCCACTTTGCAACTGCGAAAAACTGTTCCACCACCCACTTGTTTACACAGTAGTAGACTGTTGAAGATAAACGTCCACACTTTTATATAGCGCTTTTCCACCCTCAAGTTTCTCATACCGCTTTACATCAAGGAACCACTCAAATATTCACACACACACTCACACATGCAGACAATGGGGGCGAGGTAGTTTAAGTATCTCGGGCAAGGACACAACAACAGCATTCATCCGTGGGAGCTGGAATCACACCTCCAACCTGTGGGATCTGACCACTTAGCCAATGATGTTTTTGTCAAGAACGGGATTTGAACCATCAACCTTTGGATAAGTGGACAAACACGCTGCTGTTGCAAGCCCTATCTCTATAATTACTATACCAATTTATCATTCAATATATGATAGTAGGAATATATTTCTGAGCTCAGTATTTGTTGTGTGTACATTTTCTTTTGCACGATTACACATTTTTTGGTAACTTCTCAGCAATACGAAAAGATTTGAGCTATAAAAGTTTGAATGAATAACTTCTGTTACTTCTGTGTGTTTCATTCGGCTATTTATTTGTTGCAGCTTGTGTTTTTTTAACAATATTGTAGATTTAGAATAGTTTTTGTGGTATAAATCTGCTCTTGGGTTTATTGAGTCAGTGGCATAAATCAGTTTCAATCAATTTCTCTTTTGTCGTCTATATTAATGTCACCAATACAGTATATCGCATTTCAAACTTTGTTATTGTGACTAACTGTCTCCCCACAAATATCAACCCATGAAGGAAGATTGTATATTTTATGTTTACACCTGTATGTGTGATGAAATGATAAAACTGAGCTCCGTGTTGAACGCACTTTTATTGTTTTCGGTGTCAAATGTAACAGTGTCGCCATCCAGAGAGGAAATAAATGGTCACATTAAAAAAATAGAAAATCAACAATGAATATGGTCACCCGGGAGACGAATTGGTATCCTGGGGCAACATACTAGATATACAGTCGACAGTGTCCAGATCCAAAATGTTAGCTTTGCCCAGAATCATCTCGAACCATAGAAGTCCTTTAGTTTAGCCATGCATAGAGTCGACCATCAACTCAGTCCAGTCAGGGTTTTCCACAGGAGCTGGCACTTTGCAGTACAAAATATTTACACTACTTTATATTCTTTAGATCAATGCTGGAGTCAGTTCTAGTAGTTGTTGCTAAAATACTCTGGGCACATAAAAGATGGCTATGGCGAAGGCTGCCCCATTCACAGGCACACGTCGATAAATTTAAATTATCTCTTGCTCTTGAATAGATATAATTATTATTTTAATTTAATAAGTAAAAAAGTTATGTGTTTCAAGCATTTATCTTATTAACTGTGGTGATTTTATATGGAAAACTGGCATTACTATACTTCATGTTAAAGGCCATAAGAAAAAGAAAACACTGAACGTAATATATTTAGGTATTTGACTTAAAGAAATGCAGTTTACTACTTTTAAACTACTTTTTTTTAACAAATCTGGATTTATCTCATACAAACAATAGTAAAAATGAACTATTCCACAATATTCTAATTTATAGACATGTGCCTGTATTTTGAAGGATAAAAAACAGATTTAAAAAAAATACATAAATGTGACAAACGTTGGCATCTTCACGTGTACAGTTTCCCATTCCTCAGTAGGAACAGATAATGCTAGGTAAGAGATTCAAACACTGAAGATGGTTTTGTACCATCTGAATGAACTAGATTCCAATCAACAATCTGCTGTCTGGTTTTCAAAACAAACGTCTCACGATATGCACCAAAAAACATCAAAAACAAAATACTTTTCTCTGAAGTTTAGACAGATTAGAATAGAAAAATAAAAGGTGCTTTCAGGTCAAGCATATATTAATAAAATATTACGATGATTATTATGAAAAAAAAAAACTTGATTCAATACAAACAGAGTGATTTTTTTTTTCTTAAAGGTAGGGTATGCAGCCTGTGCTCATTTAAAAAAGAAACCAACCTGCTTTAACCTGCATGTAGAGGACACATACAAGTCTTTTTTCATTCGCAGTATATGGACACAAAGCCTCATATGAAAACTCTGAATCAGAATTCAGAAGCTGCACTAGCACTGACTAATGGTTGGCTGCAGGTCCTGGGGTTTAGGTAGCTTAGAGTGTTGAGATCAGAAAAATCCTTTTATGTTCATTTTCAAAATGAAATTTGAACAACAAATTCTTCAAACCCTCCCTTTAAGCACTGTAAGCAATATTAAAACCTAATAGTGCTACTAAGACAACTTTTATTAGCTGTCCCAAAAAGAATTAAACCCACAACCTCAAGGCAAGGGCTGTTTCACTCTGTTAGCATTAAATCAGCATGAATTCGATAATGTAATTTTTTTTAAGTATTTATCTTTTGAAAAACTCAAATGATATTTTTCTCCATGTTCCAGTTTATTAATGTGTGCTCGTACCGTCAACCTTGGCAAAACTTTAAAAGATAAAGCGCAGAAAGTCTAGTTTAAAATTAAGGGAAGCTCATTAAAGTTGTTTTTGGCTTAAGATTCTACAACTGAATGCCTGATGTGATGAACGAGGTACTTTGGAAAACCCCATTAACCATAGCAGAGTGAAGAAGACACTAAATGGTAATGGTGAGTATGGTGATGACTGCTAAAAATGTCCGCACTGAAAATGGCAACAAACAACAACATAAGGCGAGGGCATGTTCCTTTAGACTCAATTTCTTTTGTGGCATTTCTCATTCAAAACGTGTCCACTGCTCACGCCATTAATCTTGGTGTCACTTTTGATTTTATGCTCTGAAGACCTAAAATCCTTTGCGTTCAACCGTGAATTCATCCTCCTTGTAATTGGCATCTGCATGTGTGTGTGCATGTCTAATTGCAAATATATTCCTCAACTGCTGCCGCTGCTGCTGCAAGAGCCAGTCAGTTCCTGTTTGCAGCCCACTATCTAAAGGCCCAGAGGCTATTGTATATTACAGGAGGAGCAGCAGGGGTCATCCTTGTCTGGTTGGGCGGCGTAGTCCATTTGTCGCACGATTTCAGCGAATAGTTCGTCCACCATGGTTTTGCTTTTGGCTGAGGTTTCCATGAACGGGCAGCCCCACTCCTCCGCCAGCGCCTGACCCTCGCTCGAAGACACCTCCCTCTCGCTTTCCAGGTCCACCTTGTTCCCTACCAGGATCACAGGAACCTTCTCATACCTACAAACACATACACAGATATGTTAGACTTAGACATCAGACTTAAATTGTGTAACTTTTCTGGTGGAGGGTCAGTCAAATGCTTTGCTTGGAATGTTTCACTGTATAGTAGTAAGCCTTCCTACCTTCATGGAGACCAGTCAGACTAAGGTTACGTTTATATGATGATGGTCTGAACAGAAGACGCAAACGTGGCATTGCGTCTTCACTTTTTATTCCATGTTTAGACAAGCATTTTCAGGAGGAAATCTGCGTGCATACAGTGATGCAAAAGTGTGTGGAATTCGATTGGGTATGCAGGCGGCTTGGTGGTGATGTATGTGATGTAAACGCGTACACGACGTGAGCAGATCTGACCAGAGTTTTGTATCTTGGGCAGTGTAGACGAAAACGCTACGGAGGAGTATATTAAACTTTTCCACTCTGGAGGGTGGATTCAGATTTTTGCGTTTTTAAGCCCCAAAACTGCCATCATGGTCTAAATGAAAGGCACTTACAATAAAACATTTTGTCATTTTTACCCACAAGCATTCTCATGTAAACAGGCCCTAAGATACACGTCAGATCTGTGTAGAGGCGAACTCGCTCACAGTCAGACATATTTTTGAGTTATAAAACCTCCTGTAATTGAATAAATGTAGGATAGAGCTGTTTAATGTCATAGTGTGGAACATTCCAGGCAGAGCAATGTCATATCCATAGAAACAAGCAGGTGACAAACTACCAGAGAAGTTGCACCTTTAAACAAACTTTACTGATCCACAAGGGGAATTATTTGGACACAGTAGCTCACACATTGCAAAATATTATAATAACAAAAGTAAAAATATAAATGGTAATAATAAATTCTAATAAATAAGTAGCAAAAATAGCAAGAGATTGTTATCAAATATATACATCATACGGTAATCATATGAATGTATATGTATATGTACAAGTAAAAATAAAATAGAGATATATAGTTATACAAATATATCTCAGCTATATACAGGCGGTCATGAGGAAAAACAGTGAAAAGATGATATAATGATTGGCAGGACATAGGGTTAAAAGCGTTAGGGGTAATAAAAGAGACTAATAAATATGTTTTACATTTGCGATTTGTGATGGCCACTTCTGTCAGTGTACCCCAGGGCAGCTGTGGTATCGAGTGACTGTGTAATGACATAAGTGTAGGTAAGCACTTGAGAGCTTTGTCGAGCTTTAAAGCACAATACAAATGCAAGTCATTGTAGTCATTGTGAGTGAGTGTGTTGTTCCCCTGCTTATGGATAAAACGCAAGATTTACAATTTGGCGTTTACACACTTTACAACAAGCCTTCCAAGTACTCATGGACTAAAAATGGAAAAGACTGCAAATGGGCAAGTTCTACATATTTTTATGACAACTGAAGACAATATAACAGGATCATTACAGGAAATCCACATCATAGATTAGATTAAATATTAAATATAATTAATCCATAAATAATCCATTAAATATAATTAAATATTAGATACAGGATTAGATACCAACTAAACAAATGCAAAGATATCACGTCAAATGTTAGTAAAGCTAAATAAGCAATCATCCTTGAAAGAACCTTGAAGAATGTTTTTGCAATAAAATGGGTATTTTTCTATGAAAGGTATCTGTTTTGACTGCAAATAAAGTGTGACATTTTATAACCCATTGAAAAGAGCAATTTCAGAAACATCTGTTTTGAAGGGTGAAAATTGCAGACGGCTTGCTGTGGGCGGCGGGCCAGAATGGAAAGAAAAGTATGTATCTACTTCTGTGACACTGTGGAGGAGGCTGAAACACAAGTTCTCAGAGAAAGCGGGCAGTCAGGCCTTCTCACTGTGCAGCCGTGACAAAAACACCCCAACCAGGAACCAGGATGGGACTTTAAAGAAGGGTTCAACAGGGACACGTAGGTTCAGTAAATATGTATTTTATTGTGAGTATCTTTTTGTTTAAAGCCAGTTTACACGTCACCATTTATAGCACTCAACTACACATCTATCATCTTTAACACTATCAATTCCCCCTTTTAAATAAAATTGAGATGGTCATACGTTAAGGGAAAAAAAAAATCCCAATTGCCATGGCAACAGGTACACAGAGATGGATGCGGGTTTCCTAGGGTCAGGGCATGCATTTAAAAAACTGTAAAATGTTGAGAATAGTGACAACTTTTATCGGTGCATTAATAATGCACATTCATCTTTAAACTTTGCTAGCCAAGACTAGCTCAGCACCTGAAAGTGACCACTTAGTATTATCATATATTCTAGTAGCAATATATATATATATATATATCTTTTACTGGGGAGTTGAACAGGCAAAGTCAAAAAAGCAATGTACACGACTCTACCAAGGTAATCACAAGCTGCTAAGTTAAATCATGTGTTGGCATGTTCTCCCTGTGTCTCAGTAGGTTTCTTCTGGGAACTCTGGCTTCTCCTTCAACCTAAATACACAAAAATCTTTAACTTAGACCTGACCAAGTGGAACTCTAGGTCCCTGGGCACTGCACTGGTTCTGTTCCTGACAGATTACCCCAGCAACATAAAGAAATGGATCAAATGCAGGATGCTAATACCAACAGAGATCAGTGAAGCATAATTTAGCTTACTTTATTTTACACAGAGATGAGAGAAGCACTAAACAAATGCATGGTGGTGGTAGCCAAATGTGCCAAGGTACCTTTCATAAGAGAAACTGCATGGGGCTAGTCAGCCTGCAGTAAAGGTCTGCATTTAACCCAAACCCACCTTCCACTTCCACCATTATTATTATTATTATTATTATTATTATTTATTAAGTCAATTACATGGTATTCAAGAAATAACCGGTACATGGACGGTCATAGCCTTTTAAGTGAAGTCACAATGTTTATTTAGGGGGTGTGCCATTTTTGGAGGCAGTAGTTGTGGTTAGAGAAAAGTTGTGGTAATTTAACAAGTACAGTATTTTACAAACTGAGCTTGAGTGCTCTTAAAGATGCCCAATAGAGTATTACTACCACCTAAAGTAGTTTCTGTGTTACATGTGGGCACCAATTTGATAAATATAAGACAAAGGATAATGATAAATATATGATAAATGATGAAGTCTGAGGTGATAGGAATTCCTACATTCACTTGAGCTGCACATATAAAAATGCATGAGCATAATCAACACAATGCATTCAAGGTGAGTGCTAAATATAGGTCCTCTTGCTGCCGGCACTACTCCAGGTGAGAGATTAAAACAACCAATAAAATGCTTAAACTAGATGCCTGATCCAATACTGGTATCTGATATCAGCGCCGATACTGAAAGGTTTGCTGGATCTGATGTCCTGGTTTGACATATCCTTCAATATAATAAGACGAATAGAAGAATATTTATTAAATGTAGTTGGCCTAGAAAGTTACTGGTGGGGTAAATAACAGCTACATAAATAACATAACAGCTTATTTTTGTTTAAAGGAAATAAATGCTGTTTTCAGTCTGTGGACTGGTATTGGTTCCTATTGGGTATCGGCAGAGAGTCAAAGCTATAGTACTGGAATAATTATCGGAACTGAAAAAGCTGGTTTAGTGCAAACCTAGTTTGAACAACGATAGATTTAACAATATTAGATGCACATTGTGAGCACTGCAGTACAAGTCTAGTACACAGAAGATCCTCACATCCATGAGACTGGTGCCACTGAAGCACAGCACATCCATCCCAGCGCTCCCAGACATACTTATCTATAATGCATGACACCAGCTCATAGGCCTCTGACACAAGACAGCCGCTTAAAGAGGGGAGCTAAGATCTTCCCATGGCAACATCAGTGTTGAAACAAGCATACGCTCCCAATGAATGCAACAATAGAGGGCAGTTTTACCAAAATACATTTTTTAATGGACAAGCAAAAGGGTTTTAAATGTTGACCTGTTTATAGTAATATATAACCTGCAACAGATGATAAAACAGATATTGAGGTCTGAACAGAAGATCCACAAGCGAGCTGTACACTGAAGAAGTAGATTTATACAGAGCAATACAAGTAGTTTACTTATGATCAAACATCACCTTTTTTCTTTTTTTTCCCCTTAATCTAGCCTGGGATTTCTGCATGCAATGACTTTCTCATATCTTTCGTCACATCTCAGCATATGCTAGAAAGGCAACTAAGTTCCAAACTTGAGAACATTTTTACTTCTTTAAAAGTCCCACACAGCAGAACTCTCTTCCGTCCCCTGCTCTAAAAAGGATACCGCACATTAGCATCTAAAAGAGGCCTAAAGCACTGGCTTAAAGCAGAGTTGAATTTCAACACAGACTTGCTACTGTGTTATCATGAACCAACACTTAAAACATGTCTATCCTGTAGGGCTGCAACTACTGATTATTCTGCCAATCGATAATCTGACATTTATTACTTTGATTAATCGATTAGTTATTGGATTGCACATATGAGATTTTAAAATGATAAATAAATATATTCAGACAAAGTTTTTTGTTTTTTTTTAACATCAAAAACACATGTCCTGTGTCATTTGTATGTACTGAGCCTACATTGTGACAGCACATGGCACATATTTTGTGGTCTGGATATTTATGATAATTATATGATTACTAAACTTGTTCATTAGTTGTGACTAATCCCATTGTTTCAGTCCTATTGTCCTGTGTATGTTGTCCTTACTGAACAAAGCAATGATATGCTTATTAGCAGTCTAACTTTATCAAACATACGGTCACGTATTTTTGTGCAGCATAAAGAGACTTTATATTCTGCAACATCAGCGACTTCAAAACCAGAGAAAATATATACATCAAAAGCTAATTATGCAGTGAACATATAGAGGTGTACCGTGTAATAATATAAAAAGTAAAAAGTATATTGTGGTTGAGTTAAGGTAATATGCTTGGTTTGAAAAATGCATATTCGCTGTGTTTTGAAGAAATTGCCCAGAAAGCACAACTGCCTATCATAGAGAAACATCCGGGCTCCCTGGAGATCCACATTTTCCTTCTGAGCCAGTCGGATGGGACCGTCAGCTAAAGCACGCGTGTATAGAGGCGAGAGATTTCACTGTGCACTATGGGGACCTAGTGACCCTTTTTGGTCACAGGGTCTGGTGGTAGTGAAGATAGAGAAGATGTGGCCAGAACATTCAATAGAGTACCACACCAAAACTAAACTGTAATGAAACCTGAAGAAGATCAGGACTAAACCAGGACTAGAACAGGACGAAACAAAATCTATATCAGGAACTGTCCTCAAACCAGTACAAAATCAAGGCATTTATTTTATTGTGGATGTTTTTATTGCCCAAAAATATAATGTCAAAACAGACTTAAGAGAAAGCACATAAACTTGTGCTTGTATACAATAGCAAAAACGTGCATTCTTACTGTGCGAATGGTTGTGTCTCCCAGATCTGACCTGGAACTTGGCCCGCTTTTAAGGCCGTGCATTTCAGGCAAAGAAATAACATGTAGACAAACAGGTGGCGCACCCTCTACCAGAAAAGTTACATTGTGTATCTTCAAAAACCTGCAAGTACCAATAGCAATCCACATTTCACATTAATACCTAATGTGGCAGTAGTGCCCTTTAGCCATAAATCATCATCTCCCATGTGAACAGTTACCAACAGAACAGTTGAGACGTGTGGGTGATGAGGTCCCCAGTGGACAAGGGTGTAATCATGCACCAGAAGTCTGCCTCTGCCACTCACTGCACTGTGTGATGGAGAGTGACAGGGTTTAGACTGAGACCAATACACAGCAGCCTCTCTGACCCACCTGGACAAGGATATGCTCCTGACAGGTCAATGGTATTCCATCACTGACACAATACTGAGTGAAAATATGTTTTGACAACAGAAGATCCTTGTTCAAAAGGTGCCATTGCCAAATATTGTGGACACACGGTGCTACCACTCAGGGCAACGTGACTTGGGGGGTTACATTCCCAAACCGGACAGGAGCCTTTCTGAGTGGATTTCATCTTCCCTTGACTGGGTGGGTTTTCTCCAGGCACTCCAGTTTCACTCATCAACCTAAAACATGCACAAAAGGCAAAATCCTCCAGCTGAGGTTGTCCTCACCATGGCTAGCTCAAGATCTAGAGATGCCTCCCCTGGCAGTGCACTATGGTAGCTCACTGCTCCTGACAGGTTGCCCCAAGGCATTCAAGAATGTTTCAAATGCAGACAAATACAGTACAATAATGGTGTCATTGAGCAAGACAACTAACCCACCTGAAAAAATGAATGGCTGATGGGTGGAAAAGGGCAGAGATTAGAATGGTAGTCTCTGCCCTATGGGATTTGCTGTGTTGCTGTAGCCAAACATTTTGAAATATATCAGAATCTTGTATTGGATAAACAATTGTTTTATATATTTTTTTATTATTAATGATTGGATTGATTAGTTCATATGGTAGCAAAATGAGGGATCCATAATTGTTTGGGACTGTGCCACTATGGCAGACAGGACATTATTTGGGAGATGGTTGTGTGAACAAGGACTTGACCCAGGAGATTATAAAACTACTGTTTTACTGAGCACTACATGTTTATGGCAGTATTGTGTTGCAAATACTATGTGTATTAAGTACGAATTTGATTATATTTCCTAGAGGAGAAAGATAAGCGTGTTATTTATAAATTGCATGGGTGACACTAAACAATAGCCTCATCCGTATGGAGTGTGAAGTCTGCTGTGAGAGCATGAGGAATTTACATACAGTAGGCCAATAAACACAGCCTCTCAGCTCAGATGGGGAAACATGTTGATTCTGACCCCATTCTTTCACACGCACAAACACACGTTTATGGAAATGTTACTCTACTCAATAATTTAGAAGAAATCATGTTGCTCTGGTAAAAGTATATCTTTAATGATTGCTTGTGACCTGACTTATCCTTTAGTGTGAGATTATTGAAAAATAAAACTCAAATTTTAAGTGTGTTTTGTGAGCACCCAGCTGATTGGCTGAGAGCAAAGGAACACCCAAAACATGACGCATGAGAGCCTGAGCTAACCTCTGCCATGTATCAATCTGATCATGTGACTTCATGTGTCTGGCTAACTGCAGCCAACACAGACTCATCTCACGCTGAAATCTACTGGATTGTAACACTGTGTTAATTAAAACATGGCTCCTCTTATGCAGAGGCTGGTCTCAGGCGTGTGTGATCCCCCTCAGTGTACAGTGATGCACTGAGCTGTGCCTCTGCAGAGCACTGGCCCTGGGTATCCCCAGCTTCTTTCACTCAGGTTGCAGCAATCATGAGGACAGAACAGCAGTTTGTCAGACAGCAGACACTTTACAAGCCTATAGATTAGGGGGATGTGGATGGTGGGTGATGTGGGTCACCATTTGCGAGTCTTTGCTGTTGCCTGCATGAGGTTTGCATTTGTCACTGCAGTGACATTGAGAATAACAGCAGGATTCAGCCATAGTCAGTGCATTGTTAGACTAAAGACAGTAATACAGTATATTATTATAGTATTATTACAGTATAGTATGCACTGAGATGCACACCCTCTCCACTGAGACAGTTAGATCAGGCCAAGGCTCGTCCTCAGACTGCAGGGCCCCAGAGGACAGCCTGCTGTGTGCAAATCTGTTGTCTGAATGAATGACTGTTGTTTTGTTTGACTAACCTTTTGACTCTTATGATCTGGTCTCGCATGGGCTTTATGTCCTGAAAGCTCTGCTGGTTGACCAGGCTGTAGACCAGTATGAACCCCTGTCCGTTTTTGATGTATAAGTCCCGCATGGAGGCGAACTGCTCGGTGCCGGCGGTGTCCAGGATCTCCAGGACCGAGGGAGACGAGTCCACCTCGATCTCCTTGCGGTAAAAATCCTCTATAGTGGGGTCGTACTTCTCAATGAACGTCCCGGTAACAAACTGCACAGTGAGGGCGGATTTTCCGACCCCACCGCTGCCCAGGACCACCACTTTATACTCGCGCATTGTGGATCAAATATACGTCGTGCGGTTTCATCAATCTCCACGCGTCATTGAAAGAAACCCCAAATGCTCGTTTTACATTCACCACTGGCATCCCATTTTGAACAGCTTGAAAATAACGGTGTTGCTTGCCGCTGATCAGCAATGGCAGAGCACAAAGAGTCGCTGCCCCAAGATGGATTTCATTGTAGAAATTCCCCCATGCAGGCCACACACTGACAGCTACACGGACACCAGGAGGACCGCGACTGTCCCAAACGTGCACGGCGAGCTGTTCAAATATGGCTCAACGTTGAGGATGTAGGCTTTCATCTGCTTAGCTCACCCTTCTATGTGCACGAGGAAAAAAAACAAACTTGCTCCATCGAGGACAGACGCTGGGATGGCCACCAGAACGGGCTACGAGCGCGACGTGGAACTGAAGGCCGCCGCGTGAAAACAGCTCCTAAGCAAACTAGTAACACACTTGTCCGGAGAACTTGCGTCTCTTTGTTTCGCCATCACCATCTCTGCCGTGTCTCTGCTCCTGCCTCACTCTCCAGTGCAATCCAAGTCGCCATACTCTCGGGTGGAGACACACGGCTGATACTGCGAAACCAGCCGGCCCCCACTCGGCTCCCGTACCTCCAAAACGCGGATCCTCCTTTCGTCAGATAGATGTGCGAGCGGCCCAATAGCCGCTTCCGCCCTCGTCCAAAACTCGCCTGAGCTTGAATGGAAGGCGCTCTCCGACAGCCAGTCAAATTCACCGTTTCCGCTCATGTGTTAAAATTCCCATCATTTGGTTGCCCCAGTGACACCCAAAGAGCAGTAGTCCAATCAGAGCGCGGCTTCGCTCTGTGTTCAGCACGAATATGCACCGGATGCTGTTGCTATGGTAACGTTGCCAATTTGGTTGCCAAATTTTGTAAGTTTACTTGCACACAGGCTACAACCTGCATAATGCACTAGGACCACAAGGTTGTTCACATGTGTAGAATGAGTAGACATTTTTCCTTTTAGATTCGGCACTAACAAAGGTGCTGGTTAACTGCATGTTTGATTAAAAAGCAATGGTATAATGACAGCAATAATGTAGGCCTAATATGTAAATAAATCAGAAATTCTGTTGCATAGTCTAATCAGGGGTCTCCAACCATTTTTAACCTACAAAAATGCCAGAGAGTTACCAATTTTAGCAGTCACAAAGAAATATAAGAGTAAATATAGTCACGGCAAGCTTTAGATGAGGAACAGTTAGATGTTTATAAAACACAAACCATTACCCATTTATCGGTGCACCAAGTTAGGCATCAAAATGATATATTTAGAATTAATTCATCAGTAATTAATCAAATTTGACTTATTATCAACAATACATAGAATTAAGAAATCCCTGGGCGAGCTACTTGGAAGGGGGTGGAGAGTTACTGGTAGCTCCCGAGCTACAGGTTGGAGACCCCTGGCCTAAATTATCAATTGATGCACAGAGTCAAAGTCTCCTCTTGTTTTGTTGGACCCAATCTCACATTTTGTCTTGTTAGAATTGTGTCTTGTCTTATTCATATAAAATACAAGTTATAATAAAGACTCCAAGGACCATAATTGTGAAATGAATTTATTATTTTTAACATTCCAAACAAGTGGGGAAAATGAAAATAGCAACAGGTGGGAAATGTAAGGCAAACACCACAAAAGCATTCTTTAGAAAGTGCTTAAGAGAAATGCTTCCATCTATCAGGCAAATACAACATTCTTTCTCATAGCCCTCTTGAACAAAATCACCAGTAACTTTAGTGTGCAAGAGTATCCAATGCTTTTGGAATGAACTGGTACAACCTCAACAACAAAACATTTGATATCAAGTTATGCTGCATTCACAACTGTCTATTTTGACCATAATATTATAAAAATGAAATATCAATTTTGTTGGGGGAAACTAGCCAATTACTGTTTGGGAGTCAACCCACACCACAAACATCACATTTTACTCTAGTATTTGAACATGGGCAAAGTGAATTATCTAACCTATCTGCTTACTTTAACTGATCAACAAAAAAGACACCATTAAAATTGACTTGTTTTCCTGTCAAGGCAGTAACAGATCCATTTTTTTTTTCAATCATCTGTCATTAAGTCACTGCTCATGGCAAAGAAAGCTTTTTCAATGAAAGAACATATCACATGAACCTTTGAGGCTCTTTAAGTAGACCTAACCTTAATAAATTACATTCAACATATAGTATTTAATTTGTAAAGTGTTGAAAGTTCATGTAGGCAAGGTAGTCAAGTGTTACATCAAGATTAAACTTGAACAAGCACAAACTCTCTGCAGATTGTCTCGGTTACTGTACATATTTTCTATTAGTATATGTAATAAAACTGTGTAACCTACTTTATACATTTAACCAACTGAGTATAATCTAAAAAACATCAAATGTCTGTCTTCTAATGAACATGTCAACATAAAAAATGTCCATTCTCTCAACGATAAAGGATAAATCTTGTTTTAAATTGATATACAGTTTACTCTGACTAAGAACAAGGGATGACTGTATGCTGAACATTATACAGTACATACATAAATAAAACCTGCCATAATAAAATTGACTAAAAAACAAACAGTGAACTATCTCTATTCACAAATATTGATGCAATGACATGGCACTGCAAATCACATCTCTCTTAAAGTACAGTTGGATTAATAGTATGCCACATATGCACAGTTCTTAGGCACTTGTACTATTCAGACAATATAGTGCGGGCCAGTGCTTGTTCCACTATAAGACTTTAACACCAGCAGTAACACCACACTCCTTTACAATCACATTGCTTGTGTCTGATAAAGATGTGAATATTCTGTGCGCACACACACACACACACACACTCAAATGTATCAACTATTGCCGACTTGCAGCAATTCTTCACCCCAACATCTATTTTCTCTGTATCTGCAGTACAAAGGCACACCAAAAGAGGGAGCTCTGTTCCTTTACTAAAATTTTAAGGACTTGGTGTTCAGACAAACTATACTCTAGCGTTGGAGTTTAGTTTCAAGAAGTGCTTGGTTAAAACTAATGAATCATCTTGAAAATGTTATAGACACTTAACCTATAAATGTTACTTTACAACTTACATTCAACAACACATTTGTTTGCTCTATTTGAATCTATTGGTTTTAAGCTTATCTTGGTTTGACTTAAACTTTACTTTTATTAGCTTGATAGACATCTTTATGATATTGTTGTTTATGGGGTGTGGTTTACTATATTCATTTTAACCTAAACTAACATAAGATAATATCAAAGATAAGGTGTCATGCTGCTTGCAGTTGACTGTGTGTGGAAATTAGGCTGTATTTACAAAGCTGCTGTTTGGGAAGTTCCATTGATGCAACATGGCACTCATATCCATTTCTGGGGGTTACTTGAGGATGATCTGTCCAGGAGAAAAAAAGCACTTAGTGATTACAAAAATTGCTTGTATCTTAAGTTAAACATGGAGTAGAGGAGATTCATGGTGTACATTGTATGTTTCTCACATTTTGCTTTGGAAGAACATTTGATTGCATGAGCCACACACAAAGCAAAGCATGCCACAAGAACCATAGTATGTGCAACAATTATATGCAGACTTTAAAAAGTGCTCTCTATAAGTGATGAGATACAGCTCAGTACTAAACATCTACAACACACAGCCTAACAGACAAAGACAGACGGGCAATGCTGAGCTGACAGAGCAACTCCCCTGAATTAGAGACAAAGCATTTCTTGAGTCTATAACAGAAAGCTTTAAAAAGGAGCAAACCTGATTGGCGGGTGCTGTTGCTGCGTATGGGACACTGGTTGCGGGAGTAGTTGCTGCAGAGACAGTAGCAGGCGCAGTACTGTACATCATGGGGACTAGTTCAGGAAGGGAACCATGAAAGCAATGAAAAGGTATAGGTGGAGGGTTATGGTAACCAGAGCCATGTTTTTGCCTTGTTTTGGCCAGGCAAATACAAAACAACACTAGCAGCCAACCATCATTGGGTTAGACCAGCAGATGGCATGAGATCACACAGCAAAGCGAGACAGCAGGAAAGCACATAGAGGGCTGCTACTATGTAACATTAGAAATGTGTTTAGCATTTGAGGCTCCAAGAACTCTCTAAATAAAACAATCTGAAATACAACAAGGCATAACTGTGAAGGGAATTTCAGAGATTTAAGATAAAAAGTTACTAAATCATCAAATTTAACAGTTTTGTTGTTTTAATGATAAAATTGCTTACCCATGTTTGTGGCTGGAGACATGCAGAAGACTGAACCTGAGAGTAAAAATACAGACAATGAAATCTGTGCATTGGAGACCTTAGGTGAAAGCCTGGTGTTTTACCTGTGGGGTAGAAAGCAGCTGAGGGTTGCTGCAGTTGTGCATTGGTCAGCGCCTGCTGGTAATGCAAAAGACTGGGATTGAAGAGGGAGCTGGCCCAACTGCTCTTTTCCAGAGCTTGTCTCTTTGTTATGGGCTGCAGGGTGCTGTTAGGAAACCCCTAGAAAACAACAACAGTGGCCATGAAAATCACTTGACTGTTCTACTGCTGCAGTGTAATAGGACTGTGTGATAAAGCAGTCTAGACAATAGCAAATAGTATGTTAGACATATGTATACTGGAAAACACTACAACTACTAATCATAGTAAGCGATCATTTTCCCATTCCAAAAGTTTAAAATCAAGCAATTTAAAACTGAGGTATTAGCTTGATGGCGCTGTAAATCACAATGACAAAACTTGTTATAGAACAATAATAAAGTACATGCAAAGCAAAAGGTCAATATACCAGGTCTAATGTTGCTTCGAGGGGTCGCTTCAGTGCTTTGGCAGTCGACTGAGTCTTTTAATAGCAGGCAGAGAGCACAAGATGACGGTGGGCCAATGGGTTTGAAGCATGTAACATACAGGTAACAGCAAGCAGAGGTGCATCATGGGAGACAGCATGTGGACAGGTGAGGGGAAAAACAGAACTAAATAATGTACCACGTAAAACACAACAAGCATGCAGATAACACAATAAGCCCACACTGACTACCTACAGTTAGTATATTAGTTTGTATATCAACTCTTTGTGGTACTGCATGACTACACTATTATTGCGCATTTAAAGTATTTTTCCAGTTAACTATTACAGGAGCAGATTCTAGTCATGGTTTAAATAAGATAAAATGTATCAGAATATGTACTTCAAAATGGTAACTGTAAAGAATAACACAAACATACACATCTGTAAGACAAAGAACAATATTATCCACAAAAATGGAACTGAATACTAAATAATTATGGCTCCCATAGTCGAGTTATATTTTTAAGGAAAAGTTCAAAAGTAAAAATCTAAAAAAACATTACCATAGCCGCAGCAGCAGTCTGTGCTGCAATGGCGGTTTGAGTGACTTGTTGGTTGGACTTGATTTTAGCGAGCAAGTGTGCGGGCGGGTGAAAATATTTGCACTTCTCTCTGGAGCAGCGGCTCTTGACGTAGTCCATGCAAACAGTTACTGTGTTATCATTGGTGTCAATCACTGGACTGTCGCTGGGGTGAGCAAATCGGCAATCTGTCTCTCCTCTTGCACAGTTCCCTCGTTGGAACTCACGGCACACCTGAATCAAATATTGAATGCACAGAAAAGCAGCAAAATGCATGTATTAAAAGTAACGGTGATGTTCAAATCTTGACTAATAGGCCTACCTCTAGTTTGTCAGTGCGCTGCAGCTTCTGTGAGGGGGAAGAGGAGGAGGAAGAGGAATTGGGCACTGTCACAGCTGAACTCCCTGGAAGAACAACGGAAGTGCTCGGAAGCATCTCTGTAGGAAGCAGGTTCATACTGTGGGCCAGGGGACTCATGTAAGTGCCATAACCAAGCCCTGCATTTGAGGCCAGTCCCTGTGAGACAAGAGTGCATATAAAAACATGCCACTGTGCCATTATTGTAATGCAGGAGAAACAAAGGTACTGAGGTGTGTTCACATCTCACCAGTGGCTGCAGACCAGAGCTGGGGATCATGAGCTGCATCTGGTGTGTGAGCATGGCTGCTGCCGTCTTCTGCTGGATCAGGTTGTTGCGCCCGTTGATCTCCAGCTGAGTCTTCAGGTGTGAAGGTGGGTGAAGGTACTTGCAGTTTTCCCGTGAACATCGACCCTGCACCACACAATCCAGAGGTTAGCTTTTGTCAGGTACCTGTACCCTATTTTTCATGTGGACACACAAAATAGACAATTCTTACAATAAAGATAATAAGTTCATATTTTTTGCAGTGTATTAGAAATTTGCTTGTAAATGTCTTGGTTGAGATTCAAGTATTGCACAAATGTGAATGGGCAATAATATTAAAGTGGACATTTTATGATGTATTAATGCATATTTCAGTAATTTTGCATTTGAGGCTCAAGTGCTTAGAAAATTTCTGTTTTCATCTACTCCTATCTCTACCCACAGCCCAGATTTTTTCTAAACTCCACAACACGGGTTATACATATATATAAAAAATACAAAGCCATTTTTCAAGTTATAAAACATATAACTGAACATTTGTAGATTGTTGCGATGATATTACTGCAGAATACTTTAATTGAAAGTCAATATACCTGTTTCAAAATGTAACAATAATAATCTACATGTTATTGCTTAAATAGTAAGATACAGAGCAGTGGGAAGTTGGGGCATATGAGTTACTTCTGTTCCACCATGAGTCATGTGAGGTCATGACATACAAACATGCAGAAGTCTGTAGACGCTACACAACTGACATAAAGGAAAACTACAGCTCTGTGTGTAGTACCTTCTTACCTAACATAAACTACACTGAAATGGTAAAATAGAAAAGTAATTATGACCAAATGTTTTGAAGATATGCAAATTAAATATTATGTAGTGTATAATAATAATGATAATAATAAAATCTAAACTAATTTAAGAGCTAAAAAATACAAGGAACAGAAACATGCAGTGTAATCTTTTAACAATGGTGTGATACTTCTACACTTTTATACAGTTCACTCATTTTATGTCCAGCACTTGAACCTCCACCAAGCCCTTTACAGGCACATTTCAGCTTTTGATAAATTGTAAAATAAAATATCCTCCCATCACCATTAATGATTTTTTGTTTTTTTTATGAAAGAAACTAATAATGCAAATGTGCAAAAGTTTCTAGGCAAGCTGTGTCAAACTGTCCATACACAGAAGACGGTGACTCAACATGGGTGTAATCCTGGGGGCAAAGCTGTATTGTGTGGTACTTTTGAATGTGTGAGAGTGGATTAGGACTGCTCAGGCCTCACACAGAGCTAGTGAGCAAATAGAGGAGGTTGTAATCCAATTGGATGTCAGATTTCTTTTACTCCCATTAGACAAATGTCAAAGGGAGTCCTTTACAGCACAGTGAGTTTTTATATTTACGTGTTTCATTGTACTCCATTCACAGTAAGCCACTGCTAATCATTTAAAGGCCACAAGTGAATCATGATCATCAGCAAAAGAAAGTTTTTATAATCACAATGTCAAACAGCAGTAGGCAATCTATTACCTTAAGTGAGTCAAAGCAGGCAATTACTCTCCCATTCTCGACCTGGCAGCTCTTTGGTGGGTGAGCAAATTTGCATTCCTCATCACTACGTGAACAATTTCCGCGCTGAAACTGCCGACACACTTCCAGAGTCAGCCATTTTGTGTCTCTTATTGAAGAAATACTCAATGCCATATTCAGAAGCTTTGAATTTAGTGTAGTAAATCAACAGGTAATTAACAGATAAAGCACTTTATTATGTCTTTTGAGACCCAAATCTGCTTATGCACAGAGGTCTACTTTGAAATGACTTGATGAGTCTTCCATTGGCTGAGAAAAGAGTTGCCAAACGACCTTTTAGGTTAATAATCCATAAGAGATTTGGTCCATACTTGTAGTGCTTTAAGAAGAAAAAAGTGAATCCAATTTTGGTGTAAACCTTTGGTTTTAGATATACGGAAAGTATGGAGCCTGGGTCTGTAGTTTGGGAAGTTGTCACTTCAAGTCAGGGTTATCCTCTTCTCTAAGGCACTTGATGATCTGGAAATTGGAGAAAAAAACAAAAAAACAAAAAAAAAAAGGAAATATTTGAAAGACCAATATCACAAAATACAAGTAACTACTAAAACACTTCACATTTAACAAAGACATTAAAACTACTATAAACAGTTTCAAAAATAAGGAAGCAAAAAGTAAAGAGCAAAATTCAAAAGGCTTGTGTCAACCAAAAATAAATAGGGAAGTGTTGTTTAGATCCAGGCAGAAAGTGGACCGTATAAATGCTCAGGAAGTTGATGATTAGGCAGAAAAGACGGTTGGATTGTGAGCCAGACAAATCTGCATGTTACAATGGGACTAACAATTTATAGGCTCTTTACTAACAGTGGCTCAGATGACACAAATTTCAGTAACTACAGCCATCAACACAGGTCCCTATTGTAGTACACTTACAACGTGGTTTCCCACAACATTCTGGAGCAAATTCCTTCAGGCGCAAGTCAGGAAGCGGAGCAGAAAAACCTACCTCTCTTACTTAGTGCTGAACTAAAGAACTTCTGGAACAAAACAAGAACTAATGAGTCTAAATTTGTAAGTTTAAACTAGATTTTAAGCTTAGACATAGTAAGTACTTAGTAACTATTACTCTACTATCTCTCCTGGGATCTGGTCATCAAAGATTCTTCTAAAAACAACACGGCTGTGCAACTGGCTGAACATTTCCAGCCACCCCCTTCCTGCCTGGTGCCGGCCTCTGGGAAGTCCCACCCAGTCTGCAGAGAGCCAATAGAAAATAAGGAAGTCATGTTCTTTGCAAAACAGCTTGCTCAGTTATAGGAAGCAATAGTGAGAAGATTCATGGTTTATGTGGGGTTATGTTAAGGCAAGGCTTTGTTCCTGTTTAGTCAAACGTTGTCAGAACTAAGCCAATGTGTAGGCTTAGTCTGTTTTACCCCACAACTTTGTGAATTGTTTAGTCAATGATTTTGATTTATCTTATTATTAGTAGTGACTACAATAAGACTATTATATGGGTGCGTTCATACTTCAAACTTGTTTGGGCCCAGTTTGAGCCTTAATATAGATTTCGTTTGGTCGTATTCTAGTCCTGGTATAACTCAAGTTTAGCCCCAATTTACATGTAGTGATTGTGCAATAAAGGCACCCTAGTCAAAATACTCAAATGAACCAGATGAACGCAGTCTAAGCTCATCGCCTTTATTAAAGGTATTTATTGCGAATGATCAATGGCTGCTATTACCATCCTATTTACAAGGTTATAGGCATGTAAATAGATGCATACAACACTTACCTATTCTTAAATCTCAGTGTAAAGCATGGCGTATTATGGAAAAAAAGACACAGCTTCCTGGCCTTGTATTGGCAATCTTAATTGAAAGTTTAGCCCTCTAATTGACCCGTAGCCAAGTCTAAAAAAGTCAATGTAGACGCAAGCTAACGCTAACAGCGCATACGTGTCTTACAGTGTACAAGCGTCTATGGCGACTTAAACACCAAAAATATCAATATAGATGGTCCACTTTACATGGGGGGCTATAGTCACAGGGCTAACAGTGTGTGTCAAAAGCGACATACAGTAGATTAGCTGCATTAGCACCGTGTTAGCAAGGAGCACACCTGCTTACCTCATCATCACGGATATACGGCTGCAGAGGATTCAACAATCACGAATCATCCAGGGAAGTTTACGTCAGCCCAGACGAGTGACTGCGTACTTGTGCAAATATCCTCTGTTAAGATAAAACTAGAAAGATTTTATGTAGCCTTACTTCCTCATCGTCACTTTATGCACTGCACCGATTTAAGCAACAAGCTTTTGACAGCTTACTGTACTGTAGTGAGTTTAATGCTACGCAGGGGTATCCCAAAACTCCGCATGTTTCTACCTCTTTTTGCGAATAGAATGTCTGCAAATAAACTTGTGTTGTATGCTTTTATACACAGAAACGAATGGTATAAACGGCGAGGCAGGCATATTCTGGTACCAACAGACCCTCTGCTCGAGGAGTCTTCCCCGCACCCCCCTTTGGCCACACAGTGGTACGGACCACATGATTGCCAGGAGGCGAAAAGGGCAAAGGGTTTGCTGTTACCAAGGGAACAGCAGAGACACCGCCAGATTTTTACAAATGGCGGCTTGTTAATAATACTAATATTTGTTCTCATTATTGCCCCCAAATTTACTTTTTTCTTTTTGCCTTTTCTTTTTCATTACATTTGTTTGTTGTATTTTACCTTTCACATAAGATACTATACGTTCATTTGAGAGTCTAATGTTTGTACGCATTGCAGCCAGCAGTTTCCCAGGTTCCCACACAGTAGGCCTGTAAATGTGGTTGTGTTCTGCTGTTGGTCTGAGTAGGTCTAACTAGAATAAACTATTATCTGAAAGACAACAGAACTGTTTTGGCCAACACACTCTTGGCCCATTCAACTTTTTATTCCGCCAAACTGTGAATATTTTCAGTCGTAATAAGCTGTTTATGATGTTATTAATAATTAGAAAGTTATGGACATGGCCTATACAGGCTTCTTCCAGAAAAATCTAATGACAGACAGATTTTTATTATGCTATAGTTTTAAATTCTGTGAGCAATGTGTTATTAAGGCTCCAAAGGATGCACATACGTTCAGTTACATTTAATTTTAGAGGGCACATGAATCTTTAACATTAAACTAATATATAATATGATATAGAATATTGTATGTGGTATAGAGTAACTATAGGGCATACAAAATAATAATAACCTAATCACAATTGCCCTGTGTCAGTTTTCCTCTCTAAACATATCCTTCTTGGGCTGTGACTAATTGACATATTCATTCTTTACCTGGGGGACCTCCATATTGAGCTTCATCTAATCTGTCTGCTCTTAAATAAACAGGAGCACGGAAAGGTCACCATATTGTTCCCTTTGGTGGGACCTGTCACTGTCACTGCACATCACTTCTGAGAATACAACAATACTCCAGTCTGTACGAGTCTTTGACCAAATAGGCTCAGGCAGCCACTGCACTGGCTGATTTTAGTTTACAATTTTATTTTATTTTATTATTCTTTTTTTAAATAGCTTTTTGTATAAATGAAGCTGAATGTAGCCTAAATTCATTCTTTTTTCCATTAAAGTCACAACTAAGCTTAAATAGTAATTACCCTAGGTATTTAACCTGAGAAAATAAAACAAACAAACAAAAACAAACAAGCAAACAAACAAACAAAACAAAAAACAAAAACAAAACAATGCAGTTTTACCCCACCAATAAATAAAACCTTTCTTTTTCGTTTTGGATCTTTTTATTGCACTGCAAAACAAAGGAAAACATGTATTCTCACTATTAGCAAGCTTGCATCTCCACAAACCTGACCTTAGAGGAGGGCTTCCACCAGCTTGTCTCCATGGGGAAATGTTGTAGCTTTGGCTATGATATTTCACTATATAGCATTAAACTTATCTACGTCTATGAAAAAATGTTAGGAAACGTGATTTTTATTGGGATTTTATGGCTGACCTCCAGAAAATGATGTGATGTTGCTTTAATTTTCTGTGTGCAACAATATGATAGAGGGGATCAATGCAATATCGTAATGTGGTCGGTAGATGTCAGTGCTGTACTTGTCTGTGCTGTCTGTCCCTTCGCTCCCAAACATCTGAATTGACAAATACGGATAATGAACCAACAGATTACTGAGAGTAGTCATTTTAATATCCCCCCAAAGCCATTTATATATTTATTTAATTATTTTTATTTTATATTTATATCATTTAATTGCTTTTGTCAATAACTAATAGTAGTCTAGATTCAGAGTACACAGTCCATCTCCATCTCTATAAAAGATTTAAGACTAGCTGCCATTGTCTTGTTATATTAGCTCTGCTATCATTTTCATGTGGCGAGAGCAGCCTGGCTTTATGCTGACTATAAAAGCTCATAAAGTTGCACACACTTACAACTCATTACACGTTTCCTGTGGTTAAACATGGATCTAATAGGATAGGGACCATCTGGGTGCAACTGCTGAGGTAGCCAATGTAAAGGCATATAACCCTCGCAGCACGTTTAGAAAGAGATTAAACATAATGTAAATGTGAAAGAAGAGGCTCTATTGCATGTGAATTTACATAAGATCAGTTAAAGGGCTTGTATCTGATTTTAACTGATTCTTGTCAAGATAAAAGCTCAGCATGAACTGTATGGTAAAAACTGCTAAATAATTCATAAAATGAGACAGCTAAATAGAGTCTAGTGATCTTACATTGCATTTTTTTTTTCAGCATTAACTAATACAGAAGATGCTATATCCCCTTTTCTCATTCAATCTGGCACATAACATAACAGGAAACAACTGCATGACACTATCTCAGACAATTGTTTCTGTATCATGGTACAATATCACAGAGTGGGTAAAAGGGATAAGTGTGTGGGTCTAAAAGTTCAAACTAAAACATGACTCATGGTTTGAAATCAGATACAGGCACTTTAACTTGTTATCATAAAAGTAACTTATCCATCTAAATTGTTTCAGTCATTGCTACAATAAACTGCTTCTATTACAATTACTGCTACTGCATTTAGGTCTACACCCAACACTACTTTATATAACTGTATAAAGTCTTCACAGTTCTTACAGGCTTGACATTTTCCCCACTAAAAACACAAATTAACCTCTTAATTAATCTCTTTATTGTCTGCTAGTAGGTGGTCCCAATTTCACTGGTGGAAGTACTGAATTTTGTTACTTTAGTAAAAGTACAGATCCCAGAGCAAAAGTACTCAAGTAAAAGTATTACCTGAAAACATCTACTTAAAGTACCTGTTTAAAGTACCTTAAAGTACCTTAAAGAGTAAAACGTAAAGTATTTTACGCTGGTTTTGAGATCTAATAACACTTCAAATTTAGAGACAGTGATAAAGATTTGTATTAGAATTTTGTTCAATAGAAACAATTGACAATAGAATTTATCTTTTTTTTTAGCTGTTTTTATTTGTATATTTGTGTTTGCTCACTACTAACTACAAATGTGTTAAGAATAAGCCCTCAGCAGGTCTCAGACAATAATTAAAAAAATGCTTTCACTTTTCAGTCCTGTTCACAAATGTAATGAAGTAAATGTAAAATGTATCCACTTTAAAATCTACTTAAGTAGATAAGTACACATAACTAACCTTTTTACTTAAGTACCTGACTTTAAATACTTTTACTTCATTGCATTCCACCTCTGACACTTTAAGGAGGTACTTTATTAAGATTATCCTATGTTGTGGATATATACTGTATATTCATAGTATGATTAATTACATGACAATACCATTAGAAACATGTTGATTTGAGCAAATAGATCATTTATTGTCATAAACATAAAAGCAGCAAGCATAGTCCCAGCCATTCAAAACACTTACTTTGTTACCTTATGAAAAATGTAGTCATCTTTTGGGTCGTATCATCAATGTAAAATTCTAGTGTAGTATTCAATGCCACATGCGCCGCATGTGGCATTTCATTTCATCACAAGACTTTAAAACATGTACACAGGAATAATGTTGAGTACACAAAATTAAAACAAAAGAGTAACAAATTGGTTCTCATTAGCGTGACAGTATCGTCATTAATTAAGATCCCTGCCAAAATGTGAGTGGACAAATCTGTATTCTCACTTCATTTATTTACAGTGTTGACATTTTCTGTGTGGAGTATTTTAAAAGGTAAAATAGCAAAGTAAACGCACATAAAGTGGACAAATGAATCTATGTCATTGGTTCTTTTCAACTATTCCATGCCAGATGAGAGATCAGCTTGCCCTCGTTATTCCCTGGGTACTCTCCCCGGTGGGACCTCCTCTCCGTGAAGGGTCCAGCTGATCCAAAGCACATGCATGATCCTCTTCAGCTGGATACTCCGGATGTGAAGGAGCAGCGACTCTACTTCAAGCTTGCTCGGTCATGCCTCAAAGCTCATGGTAATAAGTTGGTAAACAGATAAGATAAAAATAAGGCTTAGGCTTAGTCTTTCTTCATCATAAAATGTAATAATTTTCTTCCAATCTGAGCCAGTGGTCTATTTTATCCTAGTTTTTAGGTCTGGCAGTGGAGGTGAGAATGACTTAGGTTTGATTCGCACACAAGAAAAGAATGAGATTGATTGGTGATTGGAGATTTGAATCAGTACAGAAATTCTTAAATAGACCTTATTCTGTTCCTGCAGTAAAGGGGATTACATCAAAGCATTAGGATATTCACACCAAACTGTCTGTCTTTGAACGATTGAACTCATTTGATATTAGTGTATATATACTGGCAATGGCATGTGACATTAAAAGGTCCATATTACGCTATTTTTTGATCTGTTATAATATTGTTTCCTCATCACAAACATGCCTGGAGTTTGTTTTGTTTCTTTCACATACATTTAACACACACACCCTGAATATTTAGGCTGAGTTTTTCGCTTAACCAGAAAGCACTGTCATGTGAGAATACAGAAAGTGCTCCACTGTGTTTTTAAACTGCATACACCTTTTCTTGAATCATTTGGCTAACTTTAACCTTGGAATTGCCTGTCTCTACAGAACAAAAGGGAAAATATAGTTGTTAACTTGAAAACTACCACTGCATGCCAAAGTGGAACAGAGCATTTTGAGCTTTGGAGATAAAGACAGACAAACGTGCGAAAGAAACAAAAGACAACTCCAGTTTTTTGTTAGAACAACATTCTAACACGCCTTAAAGCTCCCAGGAGTCAGTTTTGTGTAATATATGGCCTTTAATGAAGAATGAATCAGGAAATGCACTTCTCTTGTTAAGATGACCCACTGTTTCCATAACATATACACTAATGGACTGTTTTGTATCCTCAATAGAGTATTTTATGGAGATATGTTATGTAGTGTTTTGGATGATACTTAATTAACATACACACTGTGCATGGTCTCATAGCGTGCTCCTCCATCTGTCACCAGAACAGAGGAGTCCTACAGCTCAAGCTCACAGCACTTTCAGTCTAATAAATACCACCATTTTGAAATAAATATCTTTTGGCAGTTTGTGATGAGGGGCTTTGAGAGGGGACCAAATGCTCTGGGCTCAGCCATGATTCAAGCAAACTATATCTGCAAAGGCCAGTTTTCAATTTAAAAATAAATCACTTATAAAATATAGGCTGATCTGAATGGTGAATAATGCTATCAAATATGCTGTTTGTTGCTGTTTAATTATAGAAGGAATATTCTTGCATTTGCAGTAAATAGTTTTACACAAATCATGATCATTAGAGAAATAAAACAGAGCATTTTAATAAAAAATACTACCTTTAATTTTAGCACAATTCCATTTTACTATCTGTGAAATTCAGCACCAGAGAATAAACTAAATAGAATGAACGAAACTAGAATGAACCAATCAGAATGAAACACAGCACACCGTTGATCCAGGGACATTATCTAATAAAGTTGCATAATATAACCCCTTGACACATGTTAATCTAATTGAAACAAGATTGCAGTGTCATACCCCTCTCCCATTCACTCATTGTTCTTTTGTGATTCAGCTCAGAGCATACTTCACAAAGCTCCATCATGTGAACCACTGTTCTGTACAAGTGACACAATTTGGTGGTAATTTCGCATACTAAATGTTAACCCACAGCAAACATCCACACTCATGTGGAAAGTGTCACACAGGGATTTCCCCTGATCATGAGATAACACAAAGTGCCACTAAAGCCTGTTGAAGCAGGAGAATAAACCCTCGTTCATCTCATCACTGACACTGGTGTGTGATGCAAATGTGTGGAGAGAGGAACAGTAGAGCTGTTCAGGGACAGGCAGTTGGACACTGTCTAGTGCCTCTGTTTTTTCCATAGTTTTCAAAATGATAAATGAAAAAAAAAAATGGACTGAACTATTTAGAACAATATAGCAGGAAGCTGAAACCAATGAACACAGACCTGTGTATCAACCTGTTTACAGTCACAGCTGACACACACACACACACTCACACACTCACACACACAACGCTTATCTTATCAACTCTTTATTTCTGTTTCATCTGTACCCAAATGTTTGTCATAGGGGGCACATTACATCACAATTTAAATCAAGGTTGTCAGTCATATGGGGCACCAGGACTGCTGATACTAACTTGAAAAAGTCCATGCATTCATTCTCAAGAGTGCTAAATTAAAAGTTATACTGTGATCTCTCTTCACTTTGGCTTATAACATTTGAGCTTAAAAACTCTTGAGATATTAAAAAAGTGGTCATGTGACATGCAATTGTCTGCTCTATGTTATATTCTCAGTGAAATATGAATTTGAATAGGAACAGGGACAGTCAATGACATTCAGCAGATCTGCAGTGATAGTGCCAACATCATGTTTATGGCAGTTTTGATGTGTTTTTATCTTCATTTGAACACACGATAAATAAACCAAGGCAGAAATGAGGTGACAGAAATGGTGTTTTCAGTATTTAAGACACTGAGGGGCAGTCCAAGGCAGCGCTGCTGTGAGCCTCAGACCCTTGGCAGTTTCACAAGCAGAAGCACAGCTCCGGCGCTGACAAACGGAGAGATGCTAGGACGGACTTATGATCAGAGACATGTGTGTGAGCCAGTCTCAGGACATGTTCAATGGTTTGCACACAATACAACATGACTGCTGTGTCCTCAGATTCACCAGCGGGCCACCTGGCTTGTGTAGTCCTCAGTGGTGGCACTAAAGTCCACTTCCTTGTCCATACGTTTAGTCCCACCCCCTCTGCGCCTGGGAGGCCAGGGTCTGCCCTGCTCCCTCTGCTCCCGGAGCAGACGCCTCTCCTCACGCCTCTTTAGACGGCTCTCCTGGTGCTGCTTCTGCCGGGTGAACTGGAAGCGCTGGAGGAACAGGTCTTTGGCGTACTCGTACAGCTGCACATCCAGGTCGTTGAGTTCCTCGATGCGGCGGCGGACGGCCTCACTCAGGGCTACGTTAGCGGCGCGCGTGCTGTTGATCTGAGTGAAGGCGGAGATGAAGCGCAGGCTGAACGTCCGCTCAAACAGGTACTGGGTCTTGCGCTGGAACTCGGTCAGACCGTAGAAGGCCATGTTCTTGAGGTTGCTCATGGCGCTGCTGAGAAGGATGTGCCCGCGCTGGCTCTCGTTCATGGAGGACAGGTTGTAGCAGCCCACCAGGCTGAGGTCGGCCAGCATGCGCACCTGCCTGTTGTTGGCCAGATTGGAGGGGCAGTTCATGAAGTCGCTGAGGGTGACTCCGGACCAGTCGTCGCCGTTGTAGCAGTTGGGCAGTTCGTCCTGGGTGGGCGAGCGGCCGTCACACATGTGTAGGGCTGTTTTCCAGGTGGCTCCTCTCTGGACGTGCTTCCACTCACTCAGGTAGCGGGAGACGGGGTCACGCAGCATGGTGATGTAATAGAAGTTCCTGCAGCCAAAACAAACACAGTTAGAGACCAGTGAGCACATCATGGTCACACAGAGCAGCCCTGCATTGCGTTGACAGATGGTGACAGTATGGTCTATGCAGCACACTCAAGGTTGAATGCTAATTGGCAAACAGAAAGTCTTTCTAATGACATATTTACACTGTTTGTATATGTTGCTCTGTAATACTGAACTATTGCATCAGAGAAGGACCTTCCCATAACTTTTCACAGTCCATACCTTCTTCTGCCGGCAGTGGGAATAATTGGCCATCGAGTCATAATGATAATTTCTTGAACAATGAGAAAGTGAGCGAATGTGACCTCTTTAAATGTGCAATGTGTCACTGTTTACAAAATAATGAGGGCTGGGTGCGAGTGCCTCCAAACTCCTCTAACTTTAAATGGGGCTCCAAGCCATCACCAATCATAGACAAACAGCCCACATTGGCCTGCAGAAGGTCTGGAAATGAGATTTTAAAAACACACCACTATCTTTACTCAGACAGTGAAGACATCCTCAGCCTCTCACGAAGGACAGTCCTCCAATATGGAAGACAGATGAAGAGCTTTACTTTGATTAATCAGTTTCGGTTCTGTCAACAAGAGGAAACTTAAACCAGAGGGACATCTGTCATCAAAAAAGGATTGGTACACGCATCCTCCTAAATAGTATCTTCTAAATAGTAGTAAGCAACAAATATTTGTAAAATGTAATTATTGTATATAATCTGGACAGAGAGACACCACCTACGTCCAAGTCATTAGTATCCTACATGTTTACACCTTTAATATAGGAGTTAAGGGAATTTTTATCTGGCCCACAAATCTGTTCTTCCAAAACATTTTGAAGAAAACGTTCATTTAATTATCTATTAGACAGAACTGAAAACCACCAAAGCACAAAAGAGAGATGTTTCTGATCAACCAAACAGAGGGAATAAGTCTTCATACATACAATGACTACATAGGCTCGCGATACCACTTCTGTTTATGGTCTTAGCTGGATTTACAAATACAAAGGATAAGTAATATAAAGTCCTTCTCTTAAAAGACACTCAAAGTAGTTCAGGTTTAGACAGGCAGCCTCACAGGAGAGCCACTCAAGTGCCCTGAGGTTTGGTTCAAATGCATCCTGATGGAAAACAAGGATTGGACAGGCGTAGGCCAGGTAAACCTCTGCTAAGGTAATGTCAAATGAATAATGAATGTCACAGCACCCGCGGGTGCAGTCTGAGCTGATAAAACACATCGTATGAGACTGAGGTTTCCCTACACGGCAGCAGATGTGTGTGCCAGAGCTCTGTGTGGGATTCAAGGAGGATGACAACAGACACAGGCCAAGCACTCTCTGCTTTCTACCCCCAATCCTGTGAAAACAGGATACATCCAATACAATATTTAAGGCAAACAACATTCTGCCTGTGTAAATTTCTGGATATTAATGATGGAAAACAATATGTGATAGACAAAAGTACAAAGTATCATTCATCTTCCATTAAGCCATAAATGTACTACAATTTCAGTCAATGTTTTTACACATTAACAGCACTGAGTAGCTCACACAGACTCACACAGTTTCTTACATGAATGCAGATTTACGTACAGCACTTTTCAAACCAGGATAGTTTTGAGAATATTATGAAGAAAAAAATCCCCCAAAAGGCACTGAAATGCAAACATCTAGTTTAATGCAGACTGCCACGGAAGACAATGGTTAAACAGCAAAGACTCCACAGGTTGCTATAAATACACTGGGTTTTGCCTTGGAGACTGACAGGAGGTGGTGGTGTTGACAGTGTCACCAGTGTTATCCGGGCCAGGAGCAGTGATTAGAGGCCCAGCTGCAGCCTGGCACTGGCACAGGGAGCGGGCAGGGGAGGGGGCAGGAGGGGAGGAGGAGAGAGGAGGAGGCAGAAGAGAGGTGAAGGGGGACAGGAGGAGAAGAGGAGAAGGAGGAGAGGGGAAGGGGAGAAGGGAAAGAAGAGGACTGGAAGAGAGGAGGGGAAAGAGGAGGAGAAGAGGGGGCAGGAGAGAGGAGAAAGAGGAGAGGAGGGGGCAGGAGGGGCGTGAGGATCTGCCTGTGTGTCCTCTGTCCTCATTAGACTTTGGGTAGGACCACTTGGCTGGCCCTGTCTCAGAGCTCCCCAGGCCCAGAGGTCAGACGGAGCTCCATCAGTGTCAGGCAGCATCAGGCTCAGCAGGTCATAGGGCTGTGTGTACATGTGTATGAGGCTCACAGGAGGGGGAGGGACTCGGAGGGCACTTGGATTTCAGGTTGTACTACATGAGAATTGTCCACACCTTTGGACAAGAGATACACAGAGGAGCGGGAAAAAACAAGGGTGTTGCCGACAATATATATATATATATATATATATATATATATATATATATATATATATATATATATATATATATACTATTAGGGTTTTGGTTATTTATTGTGAGGAGGTACATGTGGCAACATATGTCTTAAAGGTGCATTGCGTACCATTTCTAGAGGAGGGTTCGTCACCTGTATCCTGATTCATAAGCCGGTTTCACTTCATGGAAACCATCTGACGTTGCAGCATTAGGATTTGTTCCCTCGACGGTGGGTGGGCACTTTTTTATTTAACCAATTGCTGCTATTTTGTAGAGACGTATGTAATGCGTCTAAATGGTATATTAAGCTTTTTCCAAATCCCGTAGGAAGAAGGGCGATAACGTTTTTTCCCCTTGATAAAATTCACCAAACATTCTCTCTGTTCCGGCTTTAAATCCTCGATCTCGGGAATCATTACCAACATAGAATGTATGACTGCGTCTACATCCATCTCGACCGCTGTGTTTACTGGTGTATTCTGATTCCTGACCTAATCGCAGGAGAGAAATTTAATTGAGTGGAAGCACTAGGTGGCACCAGCCTGGCTATGTCACCTGCTTGTTTCCATGGAAATGTTATTGCTTTGTCTAGAATGTTCCAAAATATACATTAAACCTATCTATCACAAGTTAGACAAGGAAGGTAACAGCACTACACTACATTACAGGTCAGATCTGTGGAGAGGAATGAATACATTTTTCAGCCATAGAAACACCCGTAACAAATAAATGCTAGCTGGATATATTAATGTCTTACCATGGAACATTCCAGGCTTAGCAATAACATCTCCATGGAGACAAGCAGGTGGCAAACCCCCCACCAGAAAAATTGCATAGTGCACCATAAATAACTCGCTATCGCTACCATATCAAAATTTCTATATATATTAGGATCAAACAGTCTGTGAAAGTACTCAAAAAATTCTCAAAGTTATGTCTATCTTGTCTGCTGCCCCACTTCCTTGTTGTTATTACATCTCCATGGAGACGGAAAGGTTGCATATAGCACATCTTTAAATAGATTCCTTGGTAATATGCAAAAAGGTTATGTTAATTATGCAATCCTTGCAAACAATTTAAAATGTAATAAAAAAATTAAAAAATGTGTTCTAAATATTTGTCCCATAGGAAATTAATTTGTTTTGGTGTAGTTTGATAAGTTAACTGGCCTTGTTCATTCAACATAGAATTGTACTTTTGAATTGGTCCATTTTGAGCACTTGGCAGGGGGCTTTTGTTCAAAAATGAGACCTTCAAAAAGTTTCAGTTCAATGAAAAATATAATTACACAAGTGAAAGAAATAATTAGAAGTGGAAGAACCAAATGGATTCAGATTGAGCCAAAATTGACTGAAATTGAATCCTGGTTCCAGTTTAATTATTTATTTTTATTTATTTATTTGAGCATCAGTTAAAAAAGCCTTTTAATCACTAAAGAAAATGACTTCCCTCAACAACAATTGAATTGATATGTTTTTCTTACTGTCTCTTGTCAAACTGAGTCATAGCCAGAGATCAATAATGGATAGGAGACATAATACATACTCACAGCAGACCAGTGATGGAACGTAACAAAGTAAAAGTAGTAAAGTATTGTACTATACTTTAGTGCATTTTACATAAAAAAAATATATATATATTATTATTGTCTAAGACATGTTGAAAAGGCTGAGAGGTTTATTTTTTTATTTCATAATTTGACCAAACTAGTATGTAAAGAAAAGGTTAGAAAAAGTAACTGATTCAGTTGTTTCTGTTGAACAAAATTCAGCACAAGTTTTTATCAAAATAGAAATAATAGAAATGATAGAAAAATAGAATTTTAAAAAAGCCTTCATAGACCTCAAAATCTGCATGAAATACTTTTACTTTTTACATGTTAAGTACATTTAAAACAGGTACTTTAACACATTTACTTAAAGGTGCATTGTGTAATGTTTCTGGTGGAGAGTCTGTCAAATGTTTTTCTCCATGGAGATGTTATTGCTTCGTCTGGAATGTTACACAGTATGGCATTAAACCTTTCTATCTTCATGGAGACCAAGCCAGACCAAGTTACAGGCCAGATCTGTGGAGAGGCGACCCTGCTCACAGTCAGAATTTCTGTTTTTATATGTGTTTTTGAGTTATAAATCACCTGTACCTGAATAAATGTAAGTTAGAGCTGTTTGATGTCATACTGTGACATTTCCATATAACAAGCAGGTGATGAATTCCCAACCAAAAAGTTACACTGTGCACCACTGAGTTGATTTTTTCATGTAATACTTTAACTTTTACTTGTTGTTACTTTTACTTGTGTTGCCAGCACCTGTACTTTTACTTAAGTACCAAAACTAAGTACTTTTTCTACCACTGTAGCACACACAGCTTCACTGGAGCACAAACTAAACAGATACCATTAAAGACGATGGAGGAGGAATTGAAAAGTGTGAATAAAAATGGAAGTTTAAGTATGGGGAAACAATGAGCGGAACAGAGGAGGCCACGCAGACAACACACGCGCTTAGTTCAATTTAGCAGCCAGTCGCTAATGGAGAGGCAGAAATATTGACACATGCAGCGTGCATAAAAGCATGAGCAAAAACAAGCTGGGTAAATAGAAAATTCATCCATTCAGAACCGAATATTGAGC